CCCGTCTTCGTCGGCCGCGGCCCTCTCACCGGCCTCTGCCTCGCCGTCTCGAGGCTCCCGGAGACGCCTCCAGTCTCCACTGCGCTCTCTATCTTCCTGCTACTCCGCCCAGGGGCCCTCCGCTGTGTCCAGCACACCGGGGGGGTTGATGATCACGGCGGCGAGAAGGTGCGCTGGCGGCTCGGCCTGCTGGACGCCAAGAAAGTCCAAGAACCCGTCTTCGTCGGCCGCGGCCCTCTCACCGGCCTCTGCCTCGCCGTCTCGAGGCTCCCGGAGACGCCTCCGGTCTCCACTGCGCTCTCCATCTCCCTGCTGTTGCGCCCGGGGCCTCTCCGCGGTGTCAAGCACACCGGGGAGATGGACGAGCACGGCGACGAGAAGGTGCGCTGGTGGCTCGGCGTCCTGGCCGCCCAGGGTGTCCAGGAACTCTTCACCGCCGACCGTGATCTTGCTCTCGCCTTCCTGCTTGACAGAGTATCAGTTCTTATCTTGGCCACCCAAGGAAACCAGACCTCCAGAGCTGGCCTCAGCCTGCATGGCTGCAACATCATGCCCATTAGCCTGCGTCCGCGTGCCTTCCACACTCGAGGTGCAGTTTTCTCTTTCTGGCTTTTGCGTCTGAATTTTTTTCCCGATTCAGTCACTTTTTTCTCTGCCTGTGTTTTTTTGTCATCTGGCTGTCAGTACCACCGAAATTAGTGTAAGTCTTTTTCACGAATGACATTGCTATAAGTTCATCTTGGATTATTAGTCCAACAAGTTTCTCTCAGGAATTATCCTTTAGTTTTAGAATAACTTGTGGTATTTATCACTGTTGGATGCTAATCCAACGAAAACTAAGAAGAAATGTGATTGACTGGTCTTAAAAATACCAGTCACCTGTCACGTAGCTAGTCTTGCGCCCCTTAATTTCATTTGTGTTTGTCCCTGACCTTTTCTTCTTGTTGGTGTTAGTCGACAGTGCTTTTGGAGTGCGATCAATAAACAACTTCTTCCCGCGTTGTGTTGCGAGCAGGGTGAGCCCCGTGTGATTATAATTAGCTCCCTCGACAATACTGTTAGTTCCCTTCATCACTCTGTAGCTAACAGCTTTTCGCTCTAACATTATTATAGATTGAGCTGCAACGGATCCAGGAGCTTCGGCAACGGCTTCAAGACGTCAACTGTGGTCAGCAATTTCAGGCTGCGTTTGAAGGATGCATTTTGGCCGTCGACATTACTCAAGTGTGGCAGCACAATTCTTACCGACCATATCTAGGCGCTCCTCTGCAGCAGAATGTGCCAAGTAAGACACTTCTCTCTCTCTCTCTCT